TGTGTGTGTGTGTGTGTGTATTTCTGCAAGCATTATAAGGATTTAGCAAGCATAACTATAGCACTTATGCTGCTGTAGGCTTAGACTGCTGGAGGACATGGGGACCCCTATTTCATCATTCTGCTTCATTCTATCTGTTAGTTCAATCTATGATGCTTTGCTCTTCCTGCTTTTTCTCGTAGTAGTTTCATCTGGTCTGTTCTGTATGGCTGTGACGCCATCCTGGAGAGGGGTCTCAGCTGTGCTGCCGCCTTAAATGACTTTGTTCGTGAATGTTGGAGCTTGGCCTGTTTTTCAGTGTAGTCCTGGCTCTCTGACTGTGACCACCTGTATGTTCTCTCTTTCATCCTCTCACGTGGGGGCTGGCTCGGAGCTTGTCTGCATGGCTGTGTGTTTCCAATGGAGCTGGTTGACTTTTGTGCTTTTTGTGTCTCGGCTTCTTTTTCTATGTCTGCTTCTGTTTTCGTGAACCCCAGTCGGCCTCAGCAGATGGCCGCTGTCACTGATCCTGGTTCTGCTGAAGGTTTCTTTCTGTTAAAAAGGGCCTTTTTCCTCTCCACTGTCACCCGAAGCATGCTTGGTGTGAATGATCGCTCCGAGTCTATGAGTCGATGCAATCATACGGTTTTCCTTAGATAGAAAACTTTTAATCAGTTTGACTGTATGATCTAGTTGAATTGTCTCTGTAAAGCTCCTTGAGGTGACGAATTGGCGCTATATAAACAAACTGAATTGAATTGAAATTTAGTTTATCTTAGGTAAATCACTCTTAGTCTTTGAGTTTAGAAGGTTTTTCTTAAACAGATTTTATTTCAGGTTTCAGGCAGGGCTCTGATTAGACAACAAAAAAAAGGTTTTACTCCTATTTAGAAATTGGTCCTACTTCGCGACTTTGAAGTTTAAATCTAAATTTTATTTATTTTATTTTTTTATATATATTACAGGGTGGGGCTGCTCAGAGGAACAGTGGGCAGCACTGCTTTCCTGCAGCAAGAATGTTCTGGGTATGATTCCTGGCCCGGGGTCTTTCTGCATGGAGTTTGCATGTTCTCCCTGAGCATGCGTGGGTTCCCTCAGGGTACTCCGGCTTCCGCCCAAAGTCCAAAAACATGACTGTTAGGTTAATTGGCTTCTCTAAATTCGCCTTAGGTGTGAGTGTGTGTGTGTGTGTGAATGGTTGTCTGTCCTGTTTGTTTCTGTGTTGCCTTGTGATGGACTGGTGACCGTCCCAGGGTGTACCCCACCTCTCGCCCGTAGACAGCTGGAGATAGGCACCAGCACCCTTTGAGACCCCACTTGGGATTAAGCGTGTCAGAAAGTGAATGGGTGGATAATTCAGGGTTGAATCACTTACATGAAACACTGAGAGTCACTTCAGTCTCTGCTGTCTTGCTTCCCCCATTCACAGGATATCTGGCAGAACATCTCATGTTGTATCCATCATGTGTGTCTGACAGAGTGATGGTCTCCTGGATTTTAGTTGTAAAGGTTCCATCTCTGTTTTTCTCTGTTTGTCTCTCAGAGTCTTGTTGGAGATTCCAGGTGAGTTCAGGAGGTGAGTGTGGACAGGGAGTCACAGCTGAGCAGCTTATAGTGACAGACTGATGCTCCTTCAGATCACCAACAGGGATATTAATGCTGGGACTCCAGGGAAAATATAGAAGTTCATATTGAATATTTAACAAACACAAAAAAAATCTAAGTTTAAATATAGAAAATAATCCGATACAATTACTTCTATAAAATTATTTATTAATCAAGAAATAATGGAATAATGAGTTTCACAATATATTACAATACTTAATCAATATATTAATTTGTTAACAGAAATGAAAACATTTGGAAGACCATATTTGAATTGTTTTAAAAACAAATTTCCTTGATGGTGGATTGTGATTAGCACCTTCTGAGACAGATCACAACGTGCTGTAAAATAGAAAACTAGAAAAGATTTTTCTATTGATAATATACAGGAGATATTTTATTTCATTTAGCAGTATATCATTAAAACATATGTTTGTTTTCTCTCAAAAAAAAATCTTTGTCTTACTAAGAGTTCTTCAATGTTGCAGCTGCAGCAAGATAAAGAGCAGAAGATGAGAACTGAACATAACTTCAAGCAGCCCCAAATAAAACAAAAATCAATCATTATATTTTGTGGTTAACATAAAGTTACTGAGTTTGTTATTTTATATTAAACCAGAGTTATTTTAACTAGTTATAATTTTTATAGAGTCCTAATTTTGAAGCTCCCTTACCTTTAACTGTTATATTGAGAGGATCATCACAAGCTGTTGCTCTGCATGGCCAGTTCTCAATCCTGAAGAAGTATTTGTCAGTATAACTGGTCTTTAAATCAAGGAACAGAGTGGTGCAGTTTTTCTCTCTCAGATCTCCGGTTATATTCATTGGATAGATGTTAATTGACCCACTGCTGTTGAAAATATATGTTGTCGGACCGCGACCAAAATTTGGGTGACCTGTCATCCAAACACCATAGATAGTTCTGCTGCTGTCACATGTGATATGATCAGTATGATAAATACATGGAATTTCTAAACACGATCCACTCAGAGCTTCAATCGTCTTTGGTGTAGTGATTCTGAGGGCTGGTTCTTTATCACCACAATCAGCCAAAGTACCTGTTAAAAAACAGACAAATGGTGAATATTATGTGGAGGAATATCTTTCTGCAGAGAAACGTCATGATCCACAAACTCCAGTTCAGCTGCAGCATGTTACATGTGGAGCCCTTAAACATCATCTGGATCTAATATTTCAGACTAGAAATTATTCTTGTGGCTCCAAGTGAAAATAAATTAACAGCCAACACACCTGAAAGAAAGAAGAAACTCAAAAGCAAGTTGACTGTCATTACATTTTCCACCAGAACTGCCATTAGTTTCTGATAGTCCATCTTCCCGACTGCAAACAAGATGGGAAAAGTATATTACTTTGCAAAAAAGTTAAAAATCAAATACTCAAACCCAGAAGCTATTTGGTAAAAGCAGACCTTAGATGTTAAGAGTCAGAATATATTCCATGATTTAGTATTATTACCAAAATAAATTATTTTTATGTAATAGCAAATCTAAAGAAAGAGAGCAAAAATCTAAAACAAAACAATTATTCTTCATTAAAAACCAATTCAACATACTTATCTAAATAGCCGCAGTTAAAATATGGAGTGTTTAGTTGTAAAAAGTAAATAATGTCAAAATCTCAGTTAATCAGCAGCAGACCAGGCAGCTGCCTCTCTGTATCAAAGTAAATGTGGATTGAAGAATATATACGTAGCCTTCATGCTCTGATTATAATAAGAAGGAAGTCGCATTTTTATTATAATGATGATCATTATGATGTTTTCCTATAAAGACTGACTAACAGATACTAATTCCCAGTGATGTCTCTAGCTATCTGTTTAATGGCAGAAAAATATTAAGAACTATCAAAAATATGTAGAACATGTTTAATTATAAATGATTTTGTTAGGTGCTCCAGGTATCTGTTATAAATCAGGGTTTTTGTTTTGGTGACAGACATCAATGTAATGCACTTCAGCATTGAGGAAAACACCCTTTCGAACGATCCTCTTTTTACTTCATTGTTGAATAAAAACAAATGTGATGTTTTTGTCACTTAACATCTCCCCACTTCTCTAATACACTTTCAGAAGTGAGAAGTAAAGGAGAAAACAGAACAGAAATATGTGCTGAATGTCCATTTATCAAAAACACATTTTTTTGTGTGTGTGTGTATTTTATTGTTATTTAGTTCAATGCTATATAGATGCAAATACCTATTCTTCCACTTTTTGTGCCACAACGAAAACGTTTTTCTTCTCCTTTTTTTTCAGTTTCATTTTATAGACGTCATAAAGTTTAAATTTAGTGACAGTTTACACAGCACAATAAAGTAACACACCTAACTGCACCACCTGCTGCTAACTATCCTACTCTAACTCTACTGCCAAATCTGCAACCCTTCTAAGATCACTTGCAAGAATGTGGTGGAAGTTACCCACTGCTAAAGCTTGGTTTAGACTCACTGCATTAAACGGGCCAAAAGTGACCACACCACAGCGTGGAAAGAGCGCGCAACCTTGGCGCTAGGTTGCGCTCCTTCGAATTTTTGTACCTTGGTGCTGACCATGTGCTAACCTTGGTCCATTTGGGAGGATAGAAAGTTGTTCTCCATGAACAAGTTTGCTTGTGCTGATACCAAATGGTGCAGAAGGTTAAACTGGAACAGTCTGGTTGAATGCAGTGTTTGTACTATTTATTCAGTGACTGAAAACATCATACAAGTTTATTGCAGGGTTCATTGCACTGTCCGGCATCCGTATTTGTCCTCTTTGAGGCACAAGGCTTAAAGGGTAGATTTATTTTCCTGGGCAGGAGGACAATATTCTATTATAGAATGTGAAAAAATGCTTGGAGTATCTGGTCTAACAGATGATTGGCTAA